CAGGAACTCAAGCAGGGCAGAAACCTGCAGCCTGGAGTTGATGCAGAGGCCATGGAGAGGTACTGTTCAGCCCACTTTTATTTTATTTATTTTTTGGTTTTTTTGTTGTTTTGTTTTGTTTTTTGAGAAAGGGTTTCTCTGTTAGCTTTGGAGCCTATCCTGGTACTCACTCTGTAGAACAGGCTGGCCTCAAACTCAGAAATCTGCCTGCCTCTGCCTCCCGAATGCTGGGATTAAAGGCATGCGCCACCAACGCCTGGCCTCAGCCCACTTTCTTACAGAACCCAGGACCACCAGCCCAGGGGTGGCACCACCACACCCTTTCTCAACTACCTGTGTCACAGTACAGAACAGCCGGCCGTAGGGCCGGCTCTCCAGGAAGGAAGTCTTGGGAAACTAGTGCCAGTCTAGTAGACACTATTATTCTTGACAAGGAAAGCTTCAGGCTTTGGTGAATTGAGCTGGCTTTGCCCAGGTGCTGGGAAGGCTAAGGCAGTGGGTGTCATTTCTGGCATCTGTCCAGTCATTAACATGGACTTACGCCAGTCCATGCTTTCTGGACTGGTGTCTCCCTAGGTGCATATTAGAATTACCTGGAAAACTTTCTCCAGTAAAATGAGACCCTTCATGAGAGGATCCTGGACACCACTATTTGGGTAAAGCTAGTCTGAAGTGACTATAATATGGATCCAGGACATAGAGCTGTTTGGTTGACACAAGGAAATATCTTCAGTGATAGAAGAAGAGAATGGGCCATAGTGGGGATACAAAGAACACATCAAGCAAAACTAGATATGTTTAGTCCATTGTTCAAGTACCCATGGAAGAGGCACTGTGGGCATGGCCTGTGCTGAGAATTAAAAAGCAGTGTATGTGAGCACTGCTCTCCCAAGGATTCTACCCTGAGAGAGCACTGATGGAAGAGATCACTCCTAGACAATCAGCTAATGCTTCACTTCATAGAAAAGGTACGACTAAGAAACAAAGCCCTGTAAATAACATGGTGATACCCTCTGATGGCGGGTATGGATGTCAAATAAAGAAAAGGTTTCCTTGACATATCCACTGTGCACAGGCCAGAACCCTACCCCAAAATATCCCATTTTGTCTGAAAAACTAAAATCTCCCTTTCAGCACCCCTGCCCTTAATCTCAATTTGTTCACAAGAAATCTTACTCTTTAACCATTAATGATTGTGAGCCTAAAGCATTAGAAGTTGGTTACACTTCCCACCTTCTTTCATGGAATATACTTGTTTTGCACTTATTTCAGGCATCCCCATAGAAAAGCTTAACTAAGGGCTGGAGAGATGGCTCAGACGTTAAGAGTACTGCCTGCTCTTCCACAGGTCCTGAGTTCAATTCCCAGCAACCACATGGTGGCTCACAACCATCCATTATGAAATCTGGTGCCCTCTTCTGGTGTGCAGATATACATGGAAGCAGAATGTTGTATACATAATAAATAAAATCTTTAAAAACAAAAAAGAAAGAAAGAAAAGCTTAACTGATTGTAGGGGAAGCTGTAGCCACGCCTTCTTAGGGGCTGGCTACAGGTGTGCCTGACCAGGCTTGTGAGGGCGTAGTCAGAGTGACGTAGTGGGACCGCGTTTTCGGTTTCAGTTTCTCTTTTGCTTCTTGCTGTACAGGCTGCTGCCACCGGCTGGCTAGGTCACTCTGTAAGTAAGGCTTTTCCCTGTTAAATACCCTTATATTTCTACCTGACTCCATATTGGTAATTTCCCACTATAACTGGCAGCTCGGTTGAATGATTCTGCTGCCATTCACTTGACTTCTGCACCTGTGGGTGAGGAGAGTGGTACATATGCTTGAAATGCACCCAGTTTTGTAACCCCCAGTCCCAAAGCATGTAATAGTCTTCAAAACAGTTTTCTCAACAATTTTCTTTTTATTTAGTTAAGTTTTTCTCTCCTTGGAGGTGAGTGCTACCCACACCTGTAGGTGACCCAAAGTGTACCACCAAGGATTGAAATCAGAGTGTACAATCAGAGTCAGAAGATGTGAGCAATGTTTGGGCACACACTGCCCGTCTCCCAGGAATAAATGGGAAGAGTAAACACAGTCAGGTGAGATGACGGTGCTAATGAAGCCATTGCTGATGCCACTTCCAACTTTGCTGGCATCAGAAGTAAGCCTCTTTGGCCTTCTAACATGGACTAAAGACAGGTGGCTCTCAAAGAATCCTCCAGGCTTTCAGAACCAGATGGGAACTTCTGAGATATCCAGCCTCATGAAGTATGCATCTACTGGGTTCTCAGCCTCTCCAGTGTGAAGGCTGCCATTGTTGAACTACCCAGACTGTACCAGGCAAGCCAATCCAATAAATCCCCTTTATATATGCACTATACATGACAGAATTCTACCAGTTCTATTTCTCTAGAGAACCCTGAGTAATATGCCCATCATGGCAGGAATCTCCCTTACCAAAACCTTTAGCTGGATTCGGGTTTGTCCTTGGATAGAACTCCCAGTCTCTTTACCTGGGCTATGGCTTACCCTTTGAAGGAAGGTGGAGGTCTTCTGCTTCCCTTCCCTGATCAGGGAACCGTATGGGGAGTCTATGCTGTTTACTCTTTTTGGGCACACCACTCTTCTGTGGCTCCACACTTTTCAGGTGTTCCAGCACCCCCTTTTGCTTTCTGACCCACCCCCCTTTCTGTCTCACCATGCTGGCCATTATTCTGGTTCATTGGTGGTGTTATAACAGAATAGGGTTATGGATTGTGTTCCATTGGCAGTTTGTTGTCTAGGGAAAGTGGTACCAAGCAAGCTCCTATTTCCCAATGATCAGAGTAAGAGAAAGTATCAGAATCTTACGAAAATATGTGATAAAAAGTTGTTTTGCTTTTTTTTTTTTCCAGATATGGTGGTTCATGCTTTTAATCTCAGCATACCAAAGGCAGAGACAGGCAGATCTGTGAGTTCAAGGCCAGCCTGGTCTGTTGCATGTAATGTTTTTTTTACTCTTTTGGCTTTTTGAGGGGCCCACCGCCCAGCTCCCAAATAAATCACACACGGAGGCTTATTCTTAGTTATGAATGCCTGGCCTTAGCTTGGCTTGTTTCTTGCCAGCTTTTCTTAAATTATCACAATTACCTTTTGCCTCTGAGCTTTTTCCTTTTCTTCTATTCAATCTTACTTTCATTCTTACTCCATGGCTGGCTGGGTAGCTGGCCCCTGATGTCCTCCTCTCTTTGTTCTTTAGCTCCTCTTCCTGGGTTCTCCATTTATACTCTGCCTGTCAGCCCTGCCTATCCTTGCTCCTACCTTGCTATTTGGCTGTTTAGCTCTTTATTAGACCATCAGGTGTTTTAGACAGACAAAGTAACACAGCTTCACAGAGTTAAACAAATGTAGCAGAAACAAAAGTCACACACCTGAAAATAATATTCAACCACACTGGTCTACAGTGATTTACAGGCTAGCCAGAGTTACATAATGAGACCCTGTCTCAAAAAAAAAAAAAAAAAAAAAAAAAGGAAGGAAGGAAGGAGGAAGGAAGGAAGGAGAGAGAGAGAGAGAGAGAGAGAGAGAAGAAAGAAGGAAAACATGTTTTCCCCAGAGTCAAGGCAGTATTCTGTTTGGTCCCTGTTTTAAGATGTGAGAACTTTAAAATTCACATATAAAACATTGTGTGATACTATGATTTATATTTAAAAGTAAATATTTGTTCTTCATCCTTGGCTTTGTTTCTTGCCTCTCAAAATGCCTGGGATTTCCAGCAATGAGTATCTTATTCCTAAACTTCAGAACACTTGAGTATGCAGATTTTTTGATAAACAATTATCAAACTGTGTGGGAAGGTATTGTAGGTGATATGACTGAAGGCTAGTGGCCCTAACTAGCTGTAGGACAGGGGCTGAATACCAAAATCCAAGGCAAGATTAGTGCTGAGATTTGAACCCCACCCCCTAATCTTCCAGGAAAGGAAAAAGGGTTAAGTGGTTACCAATAACCAATGGGGGGATTAGAGTCCAGCCTTTTAACAAAGTTTCCAAAAAGCAGTTTAAGAGCACTTTGAGATAGGTGAACCTGGGCAAGTGCCTCAAGGAAAATACATCGGGGCTCCCCTGGAGCACCTTACCCTGTCATCTCCAGCTAGCTATTGGTCTGTACCCCTTACAAAGGGTAAATTTAAGTGTTTTTCTGAGTTCTGAGTCACTCTAGCACACTAATCATCCCCGAGGAGGCAGTCAAAGTGGGAACATCAATATATCAGTCACTTTTCTCACCAATGTTATCCAATACCTGACAAGCTACTGGAGAGGTTTGATTCATGGTTGAAGGTATAATCCACCACACAGTGACAGAATAGAATAGGCAGGCAGCTGCATGGTGACAGAAGCTCATGGCCAATTCCTCACCTCCATCTCCACTGAGCAGGAAGCAGAGAGGAGGGGCCCTTCGGGCTCAGTTGGCTTTCTCCTCATCCTCCTCTTATAGAGTCTGGGTACCACCCGCATTTGAGGCAGTTCCTACCCCCTCAGTTAATCTTTTCTGAAAATGTCCTCACAGGAAGGTATATAGGAATTTTATTATCCAATCAAGTGGACACTCCAAATTAACCATTACACCCAGTTTACAGATGGTTGGTCTAAAATATACGCACAACCAGAGACTGCAGACAAGATCTGCAGTACTAACTGTCTTGTAGAACTAAGCCTTCAACCAGTGGATCTGCCTCACTCCTGAGACAGTCATCAGTTATAAGACACCCAACTGGTTATCCTGGAGAATCTGGTGCCAGAAAGTGTAGAGGAGTTTAGGAGCAGGATAAACAGTTTTCTCCTATATCTCCAGGACGGTCTACTATACATTATATAATTAAATCTGTTAGTAAATGATTTAACATGACTTCTGGGTTTTAAGAATAATATTTCAACTACCTATTGATAATTAATCCTCTTACAGAAAAAAATAGAAATGAAAGCATGATAGGATTACTAATGTTCCCACATGTATGCATCATACAGACCTCTCTATAGTTTAAAGATTTTATTAACAATCAAAAACACTTTGCACTTACATAGGAAAATAAATGCTTCTTTGAGCAATAATTAAGTGGAAACTACCCAGGGCCTTCCAGGCTTTTCAGCAGGTACCAGATATGATGTTCAGAAGTCGGATGCTAGCTTGCCAGGATCAATAGGATAGTGCTTTGCTGGAACCTATTTAAAAATTTATCAAACAGCTTTCCTAATAGTTTAACTGAAATTACAACAGGAAAAGAAAAGCCAGTGTTTATACTTAGTTTTAGATATAACTCACACAGAACATAAATCAGTCCTGATTCTATGGCTTAGATACTTTTTTATAAAGGTGCTCAAAAGAAATTCAGATCTCATGTTAGACCAAGAATTTCAGATGCAATAAGGCAATTTCTGAACTCCAAAGTTATTTAATGCACAATAGTTCAAGCAGCAGATACTACCTCAAAGGAAATACTTATTTTGCTTCCTTGTTTCCCCCCAGTGCTAATCATGCTAATGTCTGTCAAGTTCACCCATGACTGGAGAACATACTGCTGATCTAGACACCCACACACTCCTTCCCAGATGAACAATATGTTTCTCTTATTTTGATTCTTTTTTTTTTTTTTTTTTTGGTTTTTTAAGACAGGGTTTCTCTTGGTAGCCCTGGCCATTCTGGAACTCACTCTGCCTCCCAAGTGCTGGAATTATAGTGCGTGCCATTATTTCTTTCAGAAGAAATGTCAATTACTTGTCTCTACTTTTAAAAAAAGACAGAGCTAAATCATCTAAGCCTCATTTTCCAGTAGATGATTTAAGTCTTTAGTTTTTAAATTCTCTTGGTAAACCTCTTAAAATCTATGCAATCAGGGAGAAGACTTAAACTTAACGGACACTGTGTGATCCTCATTCTCACCAACAGAAAGCCACAGCAAAAACAGAGCCTCATAGAAATTCCAACATTGAGTTTTTTTAAATCTGAGTGCTTAGGAGGAGTCAAAGTTGTACAAAGTCAGTAGACCCTCCAAATCTGTAAGTTCAAGATAAACTATGACCTAACAAACTTGTATTCAAGTCACTCCATCCAAGCAAGTCCCACTTTCCTAAAAGGTCTGTTTAAGAGTTTACTGCCGTGTAAACGAAGGTAAGTGGTAACTACGTGACCCTCATTTGCTCAGTCTTGTCACTGTCCCATACAATACATACTAGTTCTTCCATGCACAAGTATAAACATAAAGAGCCATCAGGAATGGATCAGCCTTTGACATTCAAAACACCTGACTAACTTCTACAGAAAATTCTTAAGTGCTTTGAATTTAAGTATTTTAACTTCAGTCTTCAATATTGAAATTGCTAAGTTACTCCATTTTTCCATCAAAAAAAAAAAAAAACAGGAAAATATACTTGAGGGAAGAATTAAAAGGTAAAGTTGAAACAAATTATTAAATAGGCTTAAGAAAAAACTCAATAAAAAAAAAAAACTAATAATAATCCAGGGGCCGGAGAGATGGCTCAGTGGCTAAGTGCTTATTGCTCTTGCAAAGGATCCTAGTTCAAGTCCCAGCACCCACATCAGGTGACTTTGAGCCACTAACTACTCAGCTCTAAGAAATCCAACAATTTCTTCTAGCCTCCATGGGCACCTGCACTCATGTGAACAGACATACACAGTCATACATAGTTTAAAATAAATCTTAAGAAAAATACTCCAATAAGAAATAATAGTTGCATGCATAGGGTTGCTGACCGCAATCTTTTTGATAATAGACAACAATTAAACCCAAATGAACTATTCAGGAACAGAACTCTAAATGGCATGTCCAGCTGATAAAACATCACACAGCCTCTAGATAATTAGGAAGATGGTCAAACAATGTGAAAAGGCAAATTCACAAAGGACCCCTGTGCCATTTCCACAGTGCACAACTCCATGTACAAACACTGCACAGGAACACAATCAGAAATGCAGTGTCACCTTGTCATGGAAGGGTCTTCTCTTTATTGAATAACAATATAAAGCCCCTCTGGTTACTGTAAATTCTTGAAACATACAGAAAAAATGAAAATATATGTCTCTGAAAACTAATGTTCTCAGGGTGATACCCTACTGATCTCACTCAAAAACCCATTTGCCTCTACTGAGAAAGGTACCACTTGGCCCACAATATAGTTCTGAGATATACAATTAATGGGACTGAATGGCTTCCCAGAATGCCCAGTGGCCTAGTCCCCATGGTTGCCATCATCAGGCAGACCCTAATTTGTCCATCTTGAGCACTTTCATACAATACACAGTTGGTTTTTAAAGACAATATTATATATTTTTGCATCTCTGCCTACAGAAAATCCCAGAAGTACAATCACACTCCTCTCATAATAACAGTTCTCAGTCAACAACCAAGCTATGGGGCCTGATGATTTGTTTCCAGTACTGAGATAGAGCCCAGGACCTTGCACTGCACGGACAAGACTCTACCACTGAACTATATCCTTAGCCTCAAGTTACAGATTTCAAATGAATGGGAAACTGTGACCATAAATAAAGACCACTATGTGACATCTACTATACAGAGGATTACTTACCAAAATGAGTACTTTTTAATAGAAAAGGAAACCATTCAGAAAAAAAAAAAAAACTCAATTTCTTTTCTAACTGCAGTAGAACAGGATTCCAGACTCTCCTACAGGCCCCCAAAACATAGAGAAGGAATATTTCTGATGGTCTTACAATGACAGTCATAGATGGCATCCTAGCAACAAGGGTTTAATGAAAACGTCAATCAAGAGTGATTCACACAGAGTATATACTGTTCTCAAACAGTCACCTAATAGTAAATTTAATTAAAAATAAGAACTTATCATAATATTATGTCCATCAAATATGTGGATACACATCCATAAATGTTACAAGAAAGCAGTCATAGTTACTGCACTACTCTATACTACTACAAAAATATCCATCGAAGGCCTAACATACTCCATATGATAAGGCTTTACTTCTTGCAAGCTGTGAATCTTTCAGTGACATTCTCCCAGTTGATTACATTCCAAATAGCCTTCAGATAATCGGGTCTGACATTTTTATACTGAAGGTAATAGGCATGCTCCCACACGTCGATCCCCAACAGAGGAATAAGGCCTATCAGGAAGAAGGAAAAAAATTACTCTTTCAAACAGATCATCCACTTGTTTCTTATGTCATAGAAAATCTGCATAAGAATGACTATTCCTACAAAAACATTTAAAATTTTTACTTTGGAAGAAAATATAATAAATAGGTAAATGTATAACAGTCCCCAGAAAGTTGGTTAGACTACAGAATCTAATACCTTGAGCTCCAGCCTTCCTCACAGAGTCAGCCTGAGCCACAGTGAGGTATGCTGTCTGCAAAGGCTAAGGCTCTATCTGAGCTTCTCTTCCAAGTTCTGAGCACCAGGGGGTTGGAGGGGAGAAGTCTAAGGAACCTGCTCTACTCTCCAAGGGTAATTTTAGTTTTCTGGATGAGTCACTAAAAAGAATAGGTTAACATGAAGCTACATAGGATCAAGGAAAAATGGTATAAATGAAGAGTGTGTGTGTGTGTGTGTGTATCCTCAAGCCAGATACAGTGGCACTGGTCTGTGTTCCCAACATAGGGAGGCTGAAGCAAAAGGGTTTTGAGTAGGCCAGACCAGCTTGAACAACAAAGCAAGACTAAAGCTTTTCTATGAAAACATCTAGTTTATCTAGACCAGTTATGAGGAACATAACTCATTACTAATAGAGTAGCAATATTCTAATGACTTTTCAGTCTAACGTACTTTCTGTGTAGACAGAAAGGGCTGTAGAAACCACAGCCTCTCAGGGTACCTCACTGAGTTCCGTACCAGGTCAGCCACAACACTCCCCAGGGGAGAGCACAAGTTCCCAAGGCAAGCTCAGCTTCTTTGTGCTTCTTCCCACTTCCTGCTTAATCTAATCTTAGGTTTTTTATGGTATATTTATATACCATATATATGGTATATAAATGTAAATATGCAAATATAAATGCATATTTATAATTAAAACTGTCCCTAATTTTCTAGGATGAAGCAGGAGTCATGATTAAAACATCCTTATTAAGGAGCTTATAAAAATGGCAAGTGTTTATTTTACTAAGTGTCAGTTTCTATTGTGAAGACTCTAGTATAATCTACTAACATTTGCTCAGATTATTACACACTCCTAAGTCTAAACTCTGCTAATTTGCTTCATTTCTAGTTCAATGCGCTCTAGAAAACAGTATCTCTGGAAGGAAAAGATGAAGAGTTTTAAAGCTTACCTGTGGTTCCTTGCAGTGGGTCCTGATTAGAGCAGGCAGCAATCTGTAAGCGACCCTGCTCCTTATTGAAGCCAAGCCAGCCCCAGCCTGAACCTTGAACTCCAGCAGACACAGCAGTCAGCTTCTCCTTAAACTTCTCAAAAGATCCAAAGTCACGTTTGATAGCCTCCAGCAACTCTCCTGCAATAGAGTGTTATGTTCACAACACTAAAACATCCTTGTCAAAGAACCAGCTGGACAACATCAGTCGGAAGATTAAGACAACCAGGGAGCCTATGTAATGCCAGTGTCCTGTTCCCGGAGCCAGACACTAAACTGAGTCTCCATTCACATCATTTTTAATGAAGGCTGATTAATGCAGTTAGGGATTTCTTCCATCCCTGTGGTACCTCACCAGCAAAGAAATAACATTCTCCACATTGTTTTGGTTTTTTTTTTCCATCTAATAGTTTTGACTTTGGCATCCCCCAACCTATGTCCCCACTTAAAAATTGAAAGTTACTGCTGTTACTCAGTGTTCTTCAAGCCTAGATCTTCCCATATTTTTCCCCCCTTGGCTTTTTGGACAGGGTTTCTCTGTGGCTTTGGAGGCTGTCCTGTAACTCCCTCTGTAGACCAGGCTGGCCTTGAACTCACAGAGATCCACCTGCCTCTGCCTCCTGACTGCTGGGATTAAAGGTATGCACCACCACTGCCCGGCAGATCTTCCCATCTTTATTAAATTATTTTTTAAAAGAATTATTCTCTCTTTTGTTATTGAGCTAATAGTGCACTTAAGAGGGCTGGAGCAAGCTCAATAAACAGACCTGACTGGAGTTCATGAAGCCCTAGATTTGACCCCAACAAAGTAAGGGAATAAGAGGAAGAGAGGAGGAGGTGTGAGGGGGAAAGACAATCACACACATAGAACCTAGTCTCAAACTTCTGATCCTCCTGCCTCTACCTCACAAACACTGGGACTGCAGGCATGTAGTGCCCCATCCCTAGCTCAACCTTTTATTCTGTAGCAATATAGAATTAATTCCACGTTAAGCATATAAACTTAATCAAATGGGTCCAACATCTCATTTCTCTTATTCTGTTGACCAAAACATAATTATCTTTTACAAACATGGCTAATATATCAAGTGGTACAAACTGTGCAACAGAAACATCAGCGCCACTGACTGACCTTGACACACTTTAAACCCTGGTCATGGCCTCACAAAACCTCACACATATCAAATCATGCTCTGAAGAGCTTATGAGTAGGTAAGCTAATGAGTAAGACAGGCTGCCTTTTTAGCGAAAGAAAAAAAAACACAACTTGAACAACAGGAGTCTGAAAATGTGCCTCGGTAGCAGAAGAGTGGCCTAGCTAGAAAACCAGAGTTCGGTCTCCAGCACCACCACAGAGATGGAGGTAGGGAGAGCCAACACAACCAGAGACGTAGGGCACATGCAACAGGGCAAAGAAATCAGGGAGGAGATCTATAGTACAGCCCACACCTTCCCTAATGAGATAACTAAAAGCACCTGAGTCTCCACAAGCCACGTGGGACATCAGGGGGCACCTCACCAGTCATATGGATAAGGTGCTGTAATTACAGAAAACATACTACTGTCTTACAGAAAACATATAATGTATAAATGTAAAAATGGCTAAAGAGTAGAGTATCTGCTTTAGTATAAAGACAAGTAGATTGTACACACCGTTCATTGCCCAAAGTGCTTCTTCTTGTTGTTTTTGCTTTTATTTTCATGGAAAACTTGTTTCTCTGGGACAAATGGCTCTTTATATTATGAATAATAAACAAAAGCGCTACTCCTAGCTCTTTACATACAATTCTGAAAACAGCCCCTAATTACTCCTGTATCACACAGGTGAAGCAAGTACAGTATAAGTGGCTAGCTGTTTTACTCCAGTGAGTCCAGGGCTAGAAGTGAAAGTTCATCTTTTCTAAGTGCTAGTTTTGTCCAGGCTTTCCCTAACACTCACCCTAGGAGAGGGCAGGGCAGAGAGGGAGGGAGTCTGTGAGAAGGAGAAAGAAAGTGTGAAAGTGAGAGTGTATGTTTAAGAGAGAGAGAGAGAGAGAGGGAGAGAGAGACTGGGTGACAGAAATCCTTGGACACATTCTCTATTCCTCCTCCCCTTTGAAACTTAACAATTTGTCACACCCTAACTATAAAAAATACACCAATATGATAACCCAGGGAAAATCTAAGTAACAAACAAATGGACAGTCTTCTGGGGGCAAAGGTCAATGGGCACGTATTTGTCATACAGAAGATATTGAGTTCAATCCCCAGAATAAAAAGACAGACAGACGTCAGTCGGTGGTGGCTCATGCCTCCCAGCACTCGGGAGGCAGAGGCAGGTAGATTTCCATGAGTTGGAGGCCAGCCTGGTCTATAGAGCGAGTTCCAGGACAGGCTCCAAAGCTACAGAGAAACCCTGTTTCAAAAAAACAAAACAAAAAAAAAAAAAAACAAAAAAAAGAAAAAAGAAAAACCAGTCGTGAAGCAGTAGGGAGGCAGGGGGGCACTAGATGGCTCAGAGAGCAACAGCACTTGCTCTACAAGCCTGGTGAAGCAGAAAGAGAAAACCAGCTCCACCATGCTGTCCTGAGACACCTCCACACACATCATGCACACATATACACACAATAATAATAAGATAATAAAATAATGTCAGGTATGGTGGTACACAACTTTAAACCAAATAGGTGGATCTCTGTGAGTTTGAGGCTAACCCAGTCCTACTAATCTACATAGGGAGTTCCAGCCAGAGATACATAGAAGGACAATACCTCAAGAAAATAAACAAATTTCAAAAGACTGTCTACATAAAGTTCCAGACCAGCCACAGCTAAACAGTGAAACCCTGCCTTTTAAAGAAAATAATAATAATAATAATAATAATAATAATAATAATAATAGGACAAAACAAAACCAACAATCATTCCTACAGTACACCAAATATAAAGCTGTACCAGCATATACCAACCTTTGGGTTCTCCACCACCTTTAGGGCTCAGGTTTGTCCAGAAAATGGAGTGATTGATATGTCCCCCACCATTGAACTTCAGGGCAGGTTGAAGAGCAACCTGAGTCGTAACATCTCCTGAAATATAAAATGCAAACACCCATTAGAAATTCTTCCTCAGCCAGGTGGTGGTGGTGAACACCTTTAATCCCAGCACTTGGGAGGCAGAAGATAGATTTCTGTGAGTTCAGGGCCAGCCTGGTCGACAGAACAAGTTCCAGTACAGCCAATGCTACACAGAGAAACCCTGCCTCAAAAAACTAAAAAAAAAAAAAATTCTTCCTCTCTAAGCCTGCAAGAACAAAAAACAGGCATTAAAAAAAAAAAAAAAAAAAAAAAAACATTGCCTTTTTTGTTCTCAGCAGCACTCACTAAATAAAGCTCTGAATACATACACACACACACACACACACACACACACACACACACACACACACACACAAGGGAGGGGGGATTAAAGTTAAGATGCTTTTACAACACTCAGGAAAGTTTCCCAAGTGTCAGATGTCTCCTTAAAGGAAAGGCTTTCCCAACTGGGATATTCCCGCTTCACCATTACCTCATCCTTCCCGCCTCTGTTATTCCTAAGTCAGAGTCTCTTCCCGTATTCAAGGTTCATGTGATTTGCTTATTTCAAGCAAACCTTCCAGAATGTGGTAATTTCCTTCTCTTGGTTTGGTCATTTACCTCAAACACAGTCATGCTGAAATACCAAACTTCTCCAGTAGAGGCCCCTGGTCAACCAGATGTCACCGTCTAACATTTTTAATGTCAACCAATTTCCCAGATCTGAGAGTCAGTAAAAGTACATTTAAGAAAAAGTGAATTCTACTATGTAGATTTTCAAGCAATATAGCTAACCTAGAGACATGACTACCAATTATTTTCCTTGTAAAAACTACTAATAGATTAAAAAGGCAGCATACTATTTTGACTAGCCATTTAAACAATATTCCCAGGAGCTATGGTTGGTTCAACAGGTAAAAAGCAAGCAAACAAACAAAAAAGCTCTTGCCAGGAAAAACCTGACCTGAACTGACAGTCTGAGTTCAGTTCTTGTATACCACAGTGGAAGGAGAGAATCAACTGCCAAAAGTCACCCTCTGACCCCTACCAGCCAGATGTGTCTGTCATACAGGTATCCATCCACACACGCACAGAGTTTTTACCACAGCATTCCCATATACATCACCTGAGGTGCAAACGCAAAAAGCCCACATACTACGGATTAAAAATGTAGATAAATAAACAATTATTTTTTCCATTTTTGTGACAGGTACTGTCTACCACAAAATATTTTTCTTGTGAACTTTGACCCCAAAGTCAAGTCTACTAGCGCTGGCCTGTTCTACTGTGAAGTGCTAACTCCTGCATTTTCCTCTCCCACAATTAGTAAAAGGTGTGCAATGGGAATTCCGCAGGGGCTTCTCAGGGGCCAGGGAGCCCTAGTTGTAGACTGACCAGTCCTACTGTTGTCAGAAACAATGACAATAATCACGACGCGGGCTGCTGTCTCCTGATGCCACCCACTTCAGACCCTCTCCCGCACCTGCTGCCAGGCCACGGGCGGGTCGCTCACTCTCAGCAACGCCCAAGCCGCTTCTAGCCCCAGCCACCCAGCCACTCAAGGGCACCTAGCTGACCCAGCCTGGGCACTCTCAACCCTCCCGCAAATGGCTGCCAAGGCTACCTGAAAAAGCAAACTTTCCCAAAGCCACGTTATGTAACAACCGCCTGTTTTAAATGTCCATGTGCAAAACAAAAATAATAAATATTCACTATGCAAAAAGCAGCGGCGTCCGGGAGCTGCCTCTCAAGGACTCCCGGTTCACCAACGCTAGCTAGCCACGCGGGTGACAAAGACGGACCCCCGCCCCCATAAATAAGAAAGTGCATCGGGAACTTTTGTGAGGTCCTGCGTTTTCCGGGATAGTAAAGGACGTTTGTGCAAACCAACGGAGGCACTCCCCGGTCTCGAAACAAGTCTGGAAAAGGGGGTCAGTCAGGTGGGAAGCGGTGCCCACCGGGGGCGCCTCTCGCGCAGGGGGCGTCGCACCTACCCTTGGCCAGGGCCTCGCGGTACTTCTCCTCGGTGGCGTTCAGGTTGTTCACGTAGGCCGCGTGGTGCTTGCTGTGGTGCAGCTGCATGATCTGCGCGTTGATGTGCGGCTCCAGCGCGCCATAGTCGTAAGGCAGGTCCGGGAGGCTGTGCTTACGCCGGCAGCCCGCGCCCCTCGCCGCCGGGGCCAGCCTCCTGCCGGCGCTGAAGGGACAGAGAGGACGCCGCCGCCGTTAGGCAGGCGACACCGCGTACCAGACACGCCCGCGGCCCCGAGACCCACCCCACGGAGGACGCCGCGGCCCCGGGACCCCGCCGCTCACCTGCAAGCCGCCCGACACAACATGCTGAGGTGCCCACGGCCGCTGCTCTCCTCAGAATACGGCCGTTCGCTCTCAAGCGCGCGCCTGCTCTGCTCTGCGGCGTCCGCACAGCGTCCGCAAGGACAGAGCGCGAGGCGGGGACTCTGTCGGCCGCTCCCATCAGCGGAGGGGGGACGATGACACGGGCACCCAGCCCGCACCTAAGCGGCGCCCAGAGAAGGCAGAGATCCCCCCGCGCAGAATTGGTAGCGTCCGAGAGCTT